CAAGAGAGTTGTTGTGTCTGCAGAGGGAGGTGAGGCAAATGAAAATGGGGTCACCCACATTTACACTTGTATCAAATGCCATGGATGTTTGTGATACCCACTGGTGTACTAGAGTGACAGAAATTGCAGTTTAACAAGTTCCAAAGCCATCAAATATGAAATGCTGACCTCAGGACATTTTACACAGATGAAAGATGCAGTTCAGGCCGGTATTTCAGAGGAGTTGCCTTTTAACTGGTCCCAAAACCATCAGATATGGAATGCTAGGAGCTTTACACAGCTAAAAGATGCACTTCAGGTTGCTTTTTGCAGAGATTTACACTCTCATAAAAACATTATCAATATATGTTTTATTTATGTTGCATCCAATTCTTTGGCAAAATGCAATCTGGCTCTGAGGAAGAATGCCAAGTCAGTTCTGAAACTTCCTGGGCACTGTGCAGTTGCATAATTACTTTGTCTTTGTTCACTGGATGAATTTTGACTGGATAGGTAGACATGGCCAGTATAGTATGACTTAGATGGTGAAACCTGCTAGTTATGATTTATTTAATAGCCCAGGATGAAATGAACTGTTATTTAGCTCAGTGAAAGCACCCAGCCTGTAGGTATGGTTTGTGCAGTCTCATGTACAAACCATACCTTATAGGTAAGGTAATTGTTAGATCATGGGAAATGAGACTCAGGACACCAGCGTGATTGTCAATTGTCTTTACTTCCTTCTAGGACTGAGCGCCGAAGAAACCACGGCAGCCTTTTTATATTTGGCTGCTCACAGCTGTGGCCAGTGATGGCTCTTCAAATTTCCCACCGCCATGGACCGACCAATTGCAGGTAAGTATGTTAATATATAACACCCCTCCCCACCTGGTCCAGTCCAACCAATCTGAGCCTCACCTACCGTACATAATCACGTAGGTAGGTGGTGTTTTTATGGGTTTTACTAGATCTGTGCAGCTCAGTCGTGGTTTGGCCTCTGGACTGCTCGGACGGATCTGTTGTTTCTCCCGTCTCTCTTCTTGGAACCTCCTGGCTGGTTGAGTTGGTGTGGCTGCTCCAGCCAGGGGTTGCTTTCCCGCTATCCTTCGGGACCTGTTCCTGTCTCCCCGGCCTGCCTTCTTCCCTGGCCTCAGGTACGTGTTTGCGTTTCCCAACCGGGGCTAATGTTAGTAGTGGTTGTTGCTAGTTGTCAGGGTTTGTTCTGTTGTTTCTCTTGTTTGTGGAGGGTCTCCCCCTCCCTTCCTACTTGTATTTTGTCTGTTTGAGGGATCCCCCCTCCCCTATGGTCATGTTTGAGGGATCTCCCCCTTTTTCCTTGTCTTTGTTTTGTTTGTTTGAGGGGTCTCCCACCTCTTCTGTGGGTCGGTTTGGGTCTCCCTTTGTAGCTCTAGATCTGAGCTGGTCTATGTGCCTCTTCCAGCTCTTCCCGTCCGTGGTGTCTACCCTGTATGAATGGGGTCTGGTTATCTGGGTCACCTTTGCTGGTATCCACAATGGTTCCCCTGTAAGATTTTTTGCATATACTGGGTCCCCTGTTTGAAATGTGCGGCAATTACTGGAGGAGCCTGCTGGTTTTTCTGGGCTATATCTGGGGTGTAGTCTGTCTAGGTGTGATCTAAGTTTCCTCCCCTTTAGTAACTCTGCTGGACTTTTATTTGTTGTGGCACTGGGTGTCATATGCTGTATGCTTAGTTGTTTATCTATTTTTTCTTGTGTGTCCCCAGGCCCCAACTTTTGTAATGTTTCCTTCGTGTAACGTATCATGCATTCTGCCTGTCCGTTTGAGGCTGGGTCTCCCGGCACTGTCAGTGCATGCCTTGCCTTATTCCATTTTGTGCTAGAAATCCCTCAAATGTTGTTGCTGTGAATTGTGGCCCATTGTCAGATACAATTAAATCCGGCAATCTGTGTGTTGCAAAAAGTTTCCTTAGGAGGGGTACTACCTTTTGGATCTCAAAGCTCATGGAATGTAGTGATATTTATTTTAAACCTTTGTAAATTATGTAGCTAATGATGGCTTCTGTTGTGGTGGAGTGCATGATGCTTACTTCTAGCCATTTGGAGTAAGCGTCTATGACTATTAGGAATGTGTGTTCTTTTGTTGGGCCTGCAAAATCAATGTGTAATCTTGACCATGGTCCCCTTGGTGTTTCCCATTCGTGTTTTGGTGCTGTGGGGGTTGTTGGCCTGGATTAATGGCAGCGTTTACACGTTGCTATCCAGTCCCCTATTTCCTTATCCATCCCTGGCCACCATACATAACTCCTTGCCAGGAATTTCATTTTTACAATACCTGGGTGTCCCCTCATGTAACATTTCTAGTATGCATTTCCTTAAAACGTCCAGTATGACCACCCGATTCCCCCATAGTACGCACCCTTTCAGCATCAAGAGTTCTGTTTGTCTATTCCGGAACAGTTTGGCAGTCTCGTCGATCTCAGTTTCTGGCTATCCCTTTCCTACCCAATTTAAAATCCATGCCAGGGTTTTGTCTCTAGCTGTTTCCCTAGCGATGTCTGCTGCCGTTATGGGTAGGTTTTCTAATGTCTCTATTTGGAGGGTTAATGTGGTTGGTGCTGGGTCATCTTCTATGTCAGGTAGAGGGCAACAGCTAAGCATGTCAGCATGATTTATGTCCTTTCAGGGTGGGCAGGTTAATTTGTAGTTGTAGGCAGCCAAGAATTCTGACCACTGTGTCATTCATGGTGACAGTATGTTAGGTGTAGCTTTGTTTCCTGCAATGATGCCCAAGAGTGGCTTATGGTCTGTGACTAGTGTGAAAGTTCTCCCATAGATATATTAGTGGAAACGTTTTATTCCTGTGACAGCGGCCAATGCCTCTTTGTTTAGCTGGCTGTAGTTCCGGTCCGGCTTTGACAGAGTCTTTGAATAGAATTCAATGGGTGCTTCTTTCCCATCTGGTAATATGTGGCTGAGTATAGCGCCGACACCGAAAGGTGATGCATCGCAGGTTAGTGTTATTGGAAGTGTTTCGCTATATTGTATTAGTATGCAGTCTGATGTGATCAAGTTTTTTATTTCCTGGAATCCCATTTCTTCCCGTTGCCCCAGGCCCAGATTGCTTTCTTGTCAAGCAACCTGTGTAGTGGTTCTGCAATGGTTGCTTTCTGTGGTAGGAATATATTATAAAAGTTAATGAGACCTAAGAAAGCTTGCAGATCAGTTTTATTTGTGGGTCTGGGGGCTTTCCTTGATTGCTCTGGCTTTATTTTCTGTGGGGTGGATTCCTTTGCTGTCTATAAGATATCCTAGGAATTCAACTTTGCTGGTGGATAATTGGCACTTCTCCTTTTTTACTTTTAGTCCTGCCTCCTTGAATTTACCTAGGACTTTCCTTAGGTGGTCTCACAGTTGTTCTTTGTCCTTGGCTGATACCAGGACATCATCAAATATCATCAAAACCCCTTTTATCCCTTGCATTAAGCTCTGGAATACCCCTGGGGCGATGCTGGCGCCAAATTGTAGTCTGTTGCATTTGAATGGCCCCCTATGCATCACGATTGTCTGGGCTTCTGCTGTTTCTGGGTCAATGGGTAACTGTTGGTAGGCCTGTGCGAGGTCTAGTTTCGTGAAGGTTTCCCCCCCCCCCCCCCCCCAAGGGAATGTAATAGATGCTGTACCACTGGGACCGGGTATGCGCTTTGTTGTAGCACGTGGTTAAGGGTTGCTTTGTAGTCCCTGCAGATGCATACCGGCCCATCAGGTTTAATTGGTGTAACAATTGGACTTTCCCACTTTGAGTGGTCAGTTGGTTCTAAAACCTCTTGTGCGATGAGTTTATCCAATTGCTCATCAATTTTTGGATTTAGTGTGAAAGGAACCCGCCTCGCCTTTAACCTTATAGGGGCTATGTTTGGGTTTAGATTAAAGGAAATTGGGGACCCCCAGTACTTGCCCTGTTCTCCATCGAACACGTCCCGGAATTCTTCCATCAGGTCCTCTTCCCACTCGGTCTCAGTGATGCTGTTTATCCCTGTGACTTCGATTCCTAATGGTGCAAACCATTCGAGTCCCAGGAGGCTTGGCCGATTTCGGTCGACTATTGACTATTTTTTTTACTACTAGTGCTGTGGGCATGGCTTAGTGGGTGTGGCAGGGGAAGAATACTGTAAAATCTCCAGTCAGAAGTGGTATTTGCTGTTCTCCAAACTACTCAAAATGTCTGCTACTAGTTGTCCAGAACTGGTCAGAACCTGTTGAATACCACCTCTGGACTTACTTCAGAAAATAATGGCAAATCACTCCCCTAATGAGGCACAGTGGTGCAGTGGTTAGAGTGCAGTACTGCAGGTTACTTCTGCTGCCTGCCGGCTACCTGCAATTTGGAAGTTCAAATCTCACCAGGCTCAAGGTTGACTCAACCTTCCATCCTTGGAGGTGGATAAAATGACCCAGATTGTTGGGGGCAATCAGCTGACTCTGTAAACTCAGCCCAGCCGACCACTTTCGAGTGCATTTCTCTAGTTGGATACTATAGAAATGATCCCTGAAAGTATAGTCCCTTATAGTATAAACCCCTTAGAGAGGGCTGTAAAAGCACTGTGAAGCAGTATATAAGTCTAAGTGCTATTGCTATAGCTAATTTTGTAAGAAAACTGCATGGCCCTGTTCACAGAATCATTAGGAGTAACTTTATTAGCCCTAAACTTTCAGTTCTGAATAAATGAGTGATTTGCAGTGGAGTCTCCACATTGGCTTTTAAGGAGAACAAACGGCGAAATGGAAATGGGTGCAGAAATAAAAGATCTGAGATTAGCAAAAAATGAGATTCCAATGGGGTTTTTCCCCCCATCCCCTTCAATGAAGCATTTGATTAAAAAAAAAAAAAAGTAGAAATCAATCATTTTGTAAAGTTTCCGCACCCGAATTGCCTGGGCGATACACCTTCCGTACCAGCAGAGGTCAGAGTCGCTTCCCTCGCATCGGAGCATGAAGAGAGAGCTCCCTCTCCGGGTTCAGAGCTTGCGAAAGAAGTCACGTTTTCTCCGTCAAGAGATCTGCTGGACGAAGGAGGCGGGTTCACATGTATCTCTGATGCAGGGGGAGAGGACTAGAGGCCAGTAAAAAAAAAAAAAACCAAACAAACCCGAGACTTTGGTGGACTCTGGACTCTTGGGAAGTTTTCCTCCCAGAAAAGCTGACCTTGCATCTTTGGAGCTTCTAAAGCGATCGTCGAAGAGCTCGATCTCTCTGCGCTTGTGAGCCGCATCCTTCCCGGTTGTAGCCGAATTGATCCCGAGAAATGCAGGCTTTGGCGCTCTGGCTGACCATCGGCGCTCTGCAGCTGTTGACAGCTGTCCAGGGGGGACCCCAACAACAACGCTTTGTCGCGCCGGACATTACCTGGTCCCTGAGCAAGGTAAATGGCAGCAGTGGTAAAAGGCTTCGCCCTCTGCTAGTGGCATGAAGGGTGGAAGAAGGCGAGGAATAATTGTGGCTGATCCTTGAATGCCAAAGAATAGGGGGCTTCCTGGGGAAAATGCATTTTTATTATTTTGACAGACGTAACGATGAGTGGCGGCTGATGTGCACGCATGCATGCAAGTATATTGCAAAAATGCGCTAGTGGAGCCTTCCTTCTTCAACCTAATCTCCTTGCTAGAAGTGACGGGAATTATAGGTATTCCCCTCCCAGCCTCCAAAAATATTATAATGTACAAAATCTCGCCTTGTACATTGCAATTTTTGTGTTTCATATTTTATCCTAGCTCTCTTCTTCGGACTATTTGTGTGAAAACTTAAATCAGGAATTGTTTTTGAGCTGGGCATGTGTGACAGAATGGCCTATGTGACTTATTATAATTCTGTACCCTCATTTTGGAAATCTAGGGTGGTGCTGAAGGATTTAACACTACAAGAGTAGTTGGTAATATATTGGCTTGTCAATCTAGTTAGAAAACAAATAACTATGGGTTTCAAACAGTGAGACTATTATTATCAGGAGCCCACATCTGATTACTTTTTGTTGTTGTTAGCAGAAATTTAATGTTGTGTTTTTGCAGGCAGTCCTAATGATTATGCATGTGATGTTGTAGTTAATTCTTACCACCAACGGAACATGAATTTTAGGTGTATTAAAGACCTTCTCATCGCTGTTACTAATATAAATCTTCCTGTTAGAAATTAATAGGAATATACTCCAAGTATACTCCAAAGTCTCATCTTATTGGGAAGAGAAATGATTTCTGTGTAATTGTATATTTAGACCCAGGCTAAGGAAACAACTTCCAATAGTATACTTGGTTATATAGATTTGAACAGAGCAAACAGTAGTGGGTTAGTAATAGTTATAATTATATTATATGATAGTATATATAAATAGTATCTTGCTCAAGGCTTTGTACTTGAATGCAAATTTGAATAGTGCTTCTCACACAAAATATATGGAATTGTGGTTTGCTGAGTTCCTATTCATTCTCCTTCATTTAAAGTAGCAGCAAGATAAATATTAATATAAATATGTTTGACCGGGCCATTATCCTAAGGATCTCAGGGCAGACTATATTAAATACAGAATATAGGGCAGTAAAATGAACATAAATATAAGCAATACCTAAAATAACTAGTACAATAATAGGACTTTTTAAAATATTAAAAAAATAAGGCTATGATTATTAAATATGCTTTTGACTGCTTGCTGGCCTTCAGGAAAGGGACAATCCAAAATAGTTCAATGAACTTGTTGGGAGTAAGTGATGAGTAAGTTTGTGATATTGGCTCTATGTGGCACATAAGATTCTGCTGTAAACTGAATTAGAGCATTAAGTCATTCAGGCTAGGATTGGGTACATACACTACTAGCAGCTTTCCAGATTGCACCAAATTGTACATGGGCACCTGTGGGGTAGCTCAGGGGACATTCTGCTTGTGAAGTACACTTTGTCAATTGGCTATTGCTACCATATCCTTTCATTGGGCAATGGCCCAGGTGCTGCTACCCCTTCCTCATTTCTGTTCCAGGAAAAATTCCAGTTGCTTCCCTTGATAGGAATGACTCTTATTGGAGAGCGGGGAGAGTGTCTATGGAAATTCTCAGTCATCCAGATAATGGTTGTCCCAACGATGGTTTTCAAAAGGCAACTGAAATTTTTTAGTTTTTTCCCTTGAAAATGTTTACGAAGAACTGAAGAAGCTTTTTGGATAAGAAGTTAAATGTTTTCAAGGAAAAAAAATACAGTCAGGTTGCCTTTTGAAAAGAACCTTTGGGCTATGTTGGAAGGTGGGGACACACACTCAGAATTAAAGTTCAAAATGCACATGTATCCAATTTTAAATAATGCTTTTCCTACTAAAGTGTTGGTTTTATAGCTATTTTATGAGTAACATTACAATGGTGCAGTGATTGTAACAAATGCTTTGAGAATAGAAGGCTGCTAGGTCAAAATTCAGGGAAAAAGTTTTTAAAATGGTCTATTTTTCTGGGTAACTTCTCCAGTGCATCAGGTGATTATTTCTCCAATTCGCTTTAGAGTGAGGACATCCAGAGTAGATATAATCTTTTAATTTCAAATGACCGTGGGAAAACTAGTTAGATTATGGCTAAAAAGTAATAGAAATGTTTGCCAATTTCAAACTGGCAGCCTTTAAAAATACATTATATTACTACGGTTATTATTGTATTACTGATAAAGGTCACTCTAAAAGACATTAAGATCACGGTAACAATTAGTGCAATTCAGTGCTATTCCTGTGTGAAGTAGCCATTGGACTTCTGGAAATAGCTCGTAAGGAAGTAAACCACACCAGCCAAAACAGACAGGAGCACTCAAAGAAGATAAAGGGAAAATATTTCCTTGAGAAATGGCAGCTGGAAAACATGCCTGTGCATGAACAAAGTGATGTTCTTGGTTTCTAGAAATGATTGCTTGTTGGTTCTGGAGACAGAGCAACTAGGCAATAGGTATAAGTCCACCATTTTATTTCAGAAGAACAGCTGTTGTTTCTGTCATTTTACAAAACTTATTGCACAACATAGCATGCAGACATAATTTCCCATATGCATTGTGAATTCCTGGTACAGTTCTAGGATGTGGAATGTATAAAGACACTCATTCTTTTTGGATATGCAGTTCTGTTTTTTGAGGGACGATTGATTGATCGATCAGTGCATGGGCCTAAATACCTCTTTTTACAAAACCGATTCTTAGCTTGGAATCTAATAAGATTGCTTTCAAAATTATCTCTAATGTTACTACTTATAAAACATTACATTCTAAATAAGGGGTTTTTTTTTGGTGCTCTTAGAGCTTAGTTGTTTTTTATGCAGACATTTTCGTGTCCAAACTAGTTATCATCAATGTTAGTAAGGAGTAGGGTTGGCTCTCAGTTTATATATTCTAACCATGGCTTGCTCTGTCAGTGTTACTAGAAATGGTCTTGAAGCTACTAGAATATAAACTGAGAGTAAATTCTACTTTTTACTAGCACTGTTGAAGTTACCTAGTCTGGGTAAATAGAAATCAAGCTCATAGCATCAAGGACCCCTCAGTTCAGCCCTGAGCTACAAATATTCTCCTTTATTGATATTGTGTAAATAACGTCCTACCAGTGTGCCATAGACTACACTTGACCAAATGAAGCAGAGGTTTTGCAACACTTTCACAAAACGTCTTTGCACAAGAATGCCGTGTTTGTTAAATAAGAAGCTTAATAATTAAACTGTAATCCCAATTCTCAAGGACACTTCTCTTTTTTTAAAGATCTGTGTAAATTTAGGCTTATCCAATAGCACCTCCTTAAACAAGGGACACAATGATCCCTATGAAGGTCTGAGGTGTGTCATGATTTTTACATACCCAGTCCAACATGTACAAACCTGAAGTACTCTGTGATGAAATTGTTGTAAATTGTAGTGCTTTGCTTCTGTGTTAAAAGTGGTTTTCAACTGAGATTTTACCAATTGGAACTAAGGAGAATCATCCTGTCTAACCAGTCCCTTGAAGGCTTTCCCCAAACAATAGAAAACTCCTACACAAGAAGCACCACTCATTAAAAATTAAAAGTACTTGCCAATCCTGAAGGGCTAGGTGAGCCGAATCCTGCATTTCCATAAGGAAGCGTAGGACTTTGATGGTTTCTGTAGTGTTCAGTGACTGAGGCCGTTCGTCAACCATCCAAAGTTACAATGGTACTGAAAAATGTGACTTATGACCATTTTTCATAGTTCTGACTTTTGCAGCATCCTCATGATCCTGTGATCAAAATTCAGATAGCAATAGCAATAAGCACTTAGTCTTAGACTATATCACTTCACAGTGATTCACAGCCCTCTCTAAGCGGCTTACAGAGTCAGCACATTGCCCCCAACAATCTGGGTCCTCATTTGGAAGGATGGGAGGCTGAGTCAACTTTGAGTCTTGTGAGACTTGAACTGCCAAATTGCAGTCAGCTGGCAGTCAGCAGAAGTATCCTGCAGTACTGCACTCTAACCACTGTGCTACCATGGCTTATCAAGATGCTTGGAAACTGGTTCATAGTTAAGACCGTTAGTGTGCCCCAAGGTCATATGATAACCTTTTGTGACTTTCTGACAAACCAAATCAATGAGGGAGCTGGGTTCACTTAACAACTGGGTTACTAACTTAATCAACTGCAGTGATTCACTTAACAACTGGCAAGAAAGGTCGTAAAATGGGGCAAAACTCATTTAACAACTGTCTCACTTAACAACATAATTTGGGGGCTCAATTGTGTTTGTAAGTCAAGGACTACTTGTAGTGGAATTATGATAACTGAGAAGCTAGTTCTCCAGCAGGTAATATAATAATTGAAATCCCAAGACCACCACGAGATGATACTGCAAAGCAAAGAGCCACGGCAACTTTCCAGCTCTGCTTTGTCCAATCTAGGGCTCTTCAGAAGTGGTGACCATGCTCCTGGACAACTAATCTCAAAACACCTAGCCTAGCTTGTACTTTGCTACTGAAAGGAAACAGTGAGAACAAAAATGTTTTCTGGATGTTGTCTTTTGAAGGCTATGTATATAAGTTTTATGCAGGACCCAAATGGAAATATAGGATTAACTGAAGTCATAAATCTTTTTTGTATCTTTTCTGGCTTCAAACAGAGAATTTGACATGATCTAATGGTCTTCCGCATTAAAAATGTGCAGAAAACTACATGTTTGGCAGTAGCTTAGTCTAGAAATCTTGGGAAGTAGCATTCTGATGTCTAAGTTTAAAAGAGTGATAGATCACGGGAGCCTTCACAGAAAGTCTAGAAAATGCAGATTTATCACATATGTACAGATCTCATTGAACAAAAAGAAGGAAATCTGCAATTAGATCAATTGAAAAAAGAATAGGAAGTGTTAAAAGGTAAAAGTTCCTCTTGCACATATGTGCTAGTCGTTTCCGGCTGTAGGGGGCGGTGCTCATCTCCGTTACAAAGCCGAAGAGCCAGCGCTGTCCGAAAACGTCTCCGTGGTTATGTGGCTGGCATGACTAAACGCCGAAAGCGCATGGAACACTGTTACTTTCTCACCAAAGTGGTCCCTATTTTTCTACTTGCATTTTTACATGCTTGCGAACTGCTAGGTTGGCAGAAGCTGGGACAAGTAATAGGAACTCATTCCATTACGTGGCGCTAGGGATTCGAACTGCCCGAACTGCCAACCTTTCTGATCGATAAGCTCAGTGTCTTAACCACTGAGCCACCGTGTTCCTATTTAGCGTTAGATAGGCAGAAAGGGATATTTCAATTGCTCCCCCTTTTTCCCTTAATTACATTATGCATTTCAAGTTTTGTAACTATTATTTATCCTGTTACAGAAAGCATGACCCAGTTATCATCGCACTTGGGTTTTCCAAGTGCGTTTGGGCTGCATTGCCAATTTAGCCAGAGTTTCCCAACCAGATTGGAGAAGGTCTTCCTGTCAAACTTAATGCACAATTTTAAATCTGGTCTTTCTTCACACATTTAGGTACAAAACTTTGCATGGGAAAACTGTGGCCCTCCATCAGAACCTGCAATAATCAAGAGTCTCTCTGTCAGTCCTGATCCAATTGCTGTCCCTGGAGATGTGACAGTTACTGCATCGGGGGCCAGCACTATACTCCTCTGTGCTCCTCTAAAGGTACGTGGAAGGTGATGGAACCAAACCAAACCAAACCCAAAAAATGTTACTTGCATCCCTGACAGTAGCACATTTGTTAAAATAAACACATTTATTTGGTGTCTTGAACTATAAATCAGGCTGATATAAGATTGCACACTGTTTTAGTTTTTTTTTAATTTTATTTTTTTATTTTAATTATAAGAATACAACACGGTACAGCCGATCCAGCATTACAATTGTTATACACATATAGATTTCACTTCATCATTTATAACCTCCTTTTTTGATATATTATTTACTAATTATTCCAATCATCATAACTCCGACCTTGCCTTCTTGTCTGTAACCATTGATAAAATTTATTCCATGTTTCATAGTATGTAGATTCTCCTTTGTCTTTTAATTCTAGAGTTAACCAATCTGATTCTGCACAGGCCATAATTTTTCTTATTATCTCTGTTTCTGGAGGTATGTTTTCATTTTTCCAGTATTGTGCATATATTACTCTAGCCGCTGTTGATACATGTACTATTAGATACATTAAATCCTTCCTATATTTTTCTGATATTATTCCTAGGAGAAAAAATTCCTAAGTATACCTAAGTATTTCACTTTGTTCACGATTTGAATGCCCATTTCTTTCGTTAGTTCCTCTTTTAGTTTAAATGTCATATTCTTTGTTAGTTTTGTGGCGGCTCAGCTTGGACATTGATAGCCCAATTTTTTCAGCTCCCTCCTTATTCTTTCTTTCTTTCCTGGATAAAGGCATCTTTGAGTAATGTTCAAATCCTGATGACTGAATCCATGTACTTTTCTTGGAATCTAACAGAATGCTGCCTTCTGGGTTTGTTTGTTTTTTATTTTCAACTTTCCAGTCGATCCAGCAGCTTTGTCATTCTCAGCTGATGCCCTATCAAAGCGTTAACGCTGGCAGACTCTGCTTAGTTTCCAAGATAATTCACAGTCATCTTAGTGCTGCCTCTTGCTAAAACCTTTTTGCCTCCTGGTTGTTGTCCTAGAAAGATATTTCTCTGAGTTGACTAGGAGTGAATATCTGTAGACCCAAGGCCCGTTGCCAGATTTTAGTAGTGTAATTATTTGAAAAGTGGTGCTGCACTTTCCAGCCATGTTAAGTCAGAAAACACAGGGAAGCTATATGTCCTAAAACAGGCCTGACACCATTAAGAATGAAACAGAATAACGCAAAATAATACTCCCCTAATACGGAAAATATTAGCCATGCATTTTGCATGATTTCCCCACTTCATATTTTCAGTTCCTTCTGACTAAAAAATTGGCCACCCTCCAAATAGAAGAAGGAAAGAGTGCTTGAAGATGTTTTGGGGCAGTATTTCTCAACTTTGACCACTTTAATAGTATGAACTCCAACTCCCCGTGCTGGCTGTGGAATTCTGGGAGTTGAAGTCCACACAACCTGAAGTGGTCAAGGTTGAGAAACATCTTGAACCAACTCATAGCACTGAATGGCCTGTAACGTCGTTGGAATATGTGTGGTTTTGACCTCACTTACATTGTATTGTGATATGGCTTGTTTCACCGTATAGTGTATAGTGTTATCGGCTAGTTTGGTTTATACATTTTTACCCTATGTAAGGTACTTGGGAGTTAGGTAGCCATATAAACCATTTTTTTAAAAAAAAAAAGTGGATTCCAGCTTATATTCTCATATTAAGCACCTACAGGTAGTCCTCGATTTATGACCATACCTGAGCCCAGAATTTATGTTGCTAAGTGGGAAATTTGTTAAGTGAGTTTTGCCTCATTTTATGACTTTTCTTGCCACATTTGTTAAGTGAAACACGGCAAGTGTTAAATTAGTAACATCTGATTCACTTAACAAACACATTTGTTAAGTGAATCTGGACTTTGCTTGTCAGAAGGTCACAAAAGGGGATCACATGGATCTGGGACTCTGTAACCATCATAAATAGGAATCAGTCGCCAAGTATCTGAATGTAAAACATGTGACCACGGGAATGCTACAATGGTCATAAGTGTGAAATAAGTCAGAAGTCACTTTTTTCAGTGCTATTGTAACTTTGGTCACTAAATGAACTGTTGTAAGTTGAGGGCTACCTGCGCTTATCCATGCCATAGTCTAGCCTCAGCCATATTTCTAAGGGATTATAATAAAATCAGGAGGCATACAATAATTTCATATCCAGAATGATATCAGCCTTCAAAGAATCTAAAGGCTGCAGCTAACACCCACAGAATAATAGAATGAATGAATGAATGAATGAATTCTTTATTGCCCAAGTGTGATTGGACACACAAGGAATTTGCACATGCTGTCATATACATAAGAAGAAAAGATACATTCATCAAGAATCATCAGGTACAGCACTTAATGATAGTCATAGGGTACAAATAGGTAATCAAATCATACTAGGAAACAGTTGATATAAATCGTAAGTATACAAGTGGCAAAGTTACAGTCATACAGTCACAAGTGGGAGGGGATGGGTGATAAGGAGTTATGAGAAGATTAATAGTAATAGTGGTGCAGACTTTGTAAATAGTTGAACAGTGTTGAGGAAATTATTTGTTTAGCAGAGTGATGGCATTCTGAGGAAAAAACTGTCCTTGTGTCTAGTTGTTCTGGTTTGCGGTGCTCTATAGCATCGTTTTGAGGGTAGGAGTTGAAACAGTTTATGTCCAGGATGTGAGGGGTTCTGTAAATATTTTCACAGCCCTCTTTTTGACTTGTGCAGTATACAGGTCCTCAGTGGAAGGCAGTTTGGTAGTTGTTTTTTTCTGCAGTCCTAATGAAAATTGCCTTGTGTTTATTGATTGTACTGATACAACCTAACTGGTTGTACGCAAAGCTTTATGAGTTTTGAAAAATTATGTATATATGAACCTTTTGAGTTCCGGGCCTGAGAATGTGGGTTGTGGTTTAGCTCAGATGTTGCATGCTGTTTTCTTATTACTTTGTCCTGTTCTCAAGTCTCTTCCTGTCTTACTGGTTTCTTGATCATTCTGTTACTAGTTCTCATAGTTATGTTCATTCTAGCGCCATTTTTTGGGGGGGAGATCTAGTGCTGTTTTTCCTGTTCTGGATTTCAGGCACTGAGATAGGGATATCAGATGAAATAGAATGAAATGTTCTCTGTCAAAGGAAATAGTAGGATTTTGTGTTCTTGGGTAATCTCCAGGATGGTTTCCGACACACCTAGTGTTGAAACCCTTCCTTACATGGACTTCAGCTTGAATCAATTGACAGCCACAAGCTTTTCCTGCTGTGGAGTCACAGGATAGTTTTAAACATAGAATCCTTTCAGATATAATGCTATGGTTTGTTCATTAGCTTGAATTGAGGTTGACTTAAAATGGCAAACTGAGATTGACTTCTAACTAGAAAACTGGGACATGATATGTACATTTACATGTTCAAGGTTGTTTTCAAACCTGAATCTTCTACATTTGGCTCCAAGCTTCTTCTTTTTTTTTAAAGAAAGTGAGGGAAGGAGATTTTGCTCATATGTGGCCAGGCAGCACTATTTTTTACCTGCTTGGACATAGGACATGTGTTTTTCTTTAGTTGAGGCCTAGAGGTTTTCTTAATATTCATGCAAGAATACATTGGTTTGATAGCAATGCCTGAAAAATTATTCATTGGAGAACAAAGTAAGCTTAATACCTTTCAATAGGAAACTCGGAGGCGTTGGATCTAGTTTAAAATGTTAGAGGCCCTGTAGAGTCTTGTGAAAATGGAACATAAGTAGAAAATCTATCATGAGTAATTCTGTGTGTTGCCTCTGATAATTTCATTTTATTCATTTATCTGGGTGCTGTAACCTATGCTGGATTTCTCCAATTCTGCAAAAAGATTTTGTCCAGGGATGAAGTTTGCTTCCTGGCTATGGCAGCTTTGCATGGGCTGCATGCCTAAATCCATCCAGCCCAATTTCCACGTCACTTAAGCACACAAAACTGTATGAAAATTCTCATAAAAATTAATATAGTTTCCACAAACATTCCTGTACATCTCGGAGCCAAAATAGAGATTTTTAAACCCTTCTTTTTTTGAGAAATATTATATTGCAAAATTTGGAAAAGTGTAACTTGGTAGTCCAGAAAGTGGACTACTATTAGGTTGATTATTAAAAATGATACTTGGGGACAATCAAACTCACATCTCTCCTTGAGGAAGTACATTTCCTTTGGACATATTCCTCCAGAGCATTTCATTTCAATTGTCAGCTACTCAGAAATTGTTGAAAGAAAGTTTGCTGACATTTTTAGGTACAGCCACACTCAGAATGCTAGAGAAAGATGTGCCTGTTAGTACTTCCTCCACCTAACAGGAGGAAAATCCAAAGACATTCAACCAATGCCCTGCCTCCCATCTATGTTTTCATTTCATATATGTGATGGTTTCCCATCTAGCCCAACAAGATATTATAGTCAGGGGATGTTGCAAACCACAAAGTCACTCTCCCTTTGCTGTATTTTAAATAGTAGCATCTTAGCAAGCCTCAGTGGCAGCTGACCTCTGCAGGGACGAGGAAGGATAAGGTCATGGCCAGAGTGACTCAATAATATTCTCTGTCTCTGTCTCTGTCTCTGTCT